AGGGCGGCCAGGCCGGGGTGCAGAGCCGCCCTCGGGCACACGCGGCGGCCGCGGCGGCCGCCAGCTCGGTGCGGAGGCCACGGGGCTGTGGAACGCGACGCGCGGGCGATGCGAGCAAAGCCCCCGCCTGGCGCTAGAACCCGAGCGAGCCGCGCGCACCCCGCGCCGCCCTCATCCCTTTCCGCGCGCCCGGGGGTTCCGGGACCTGGCTCGGGCGCTCCGCCGGGGTCCCCCCTTTTCGCCTGGGGAGGGGGCAACCTCTCTCCTCTTAGGACTCGACGATTTAAAGCCGCTCCCAGCTCGCTTCTGCTTTCAGACGGCGGTCCCCCTCGTTGTAGCCCCCCACCCCCGCAAAGCGCTCGGGAACCCCCACCCCCGCGAGAGGCCCCGCGGTGCTGGGGGAGGACAGAAGGGGGAGCCAGGGACCGTGCCCAAACCCAGCAGAGGACCCAGGGTGGAGGTGAGGGTGGGGGATCGGGGCCTGCAAAGTCCCCCTGCCCCCGTGCAGCGTGGAGGGACCAAAGGGAGAGAAGAAAAGGATATGCCCGTCTGCTTTCGACCCCAAACTTCAGGACCGGCCCCGCGTGCAGCTACGACTACTTGCAGGGAGGCCGAGGGCGCGAAGGGCGCCCGGGCCGCGAGCCCGCGGAGACCCTGGCCGGGGCTCGGCCCCCGGCGCCACCTTCCGCGGCCGCGCCTGGCCCATTAGGCGCCACGCCGCGTCGTCCCCGCAGCCCTACACTTTGTGGGGCCCGCCCTGGGGGAAGCGCAGTGTCATCCGCCTGCGGGGAGCCGCCGAAGGACAGAGCGCTCGGCCGCCCGGCGCCCCAGCCTCGGCCGCGCAGCCCGGGCCGGGCGCCCGCAGCGCAGGCCGAGCGGCCACCCGGCGCGGGCGTCTGCGGGGCTCCGGTTGCTGGTCCCCTGCTGCTGCTCGCGCGGGGTGCGAGAGCCAGGCCGAGCCATCCGCGCCCCCCGCCGCCCACCCCCCGGGAGCCCTCGGGGCCTGGGACCAGCAGGGGGAGAGACCTGTTGAAAACTCTTGACGCCAACTTGAAAGACAATCAAATCGCCCCAGCAAAAACCCTCTCTCCAATTTGATATTTTTGAAATGTCATAAAAGCTGCACTGCAGCAAGATTGCTGCTCCCTTAAATGGGCCAGTAATTTCCAGCTCTCTCCCACAAATTCCGCCAACCGAGGATTTCAATGTAAGGCAATTCAAATAAGTAAAAACCACTTTATTGCTGTTCGAAAATTCGCATGCATTTATTCTGCTTAAAATTTGATATAGGGCATTTTTTTTTTGTATTCTCATTTATCGCTTGCCAAGAAATAATTAAGAATAGGAGCTCGAAGATTAATTTTAAATAAAAAATCTTCTCAAATGAAAATGTCAGGTCATAAAAATTCCTTTTAAATCATAACAGCATATAAATCTTTGAAATTAACCATGTAATTACAATGTCTATCAACTTTTACCTTGAGCTTTGAGCCTCTCTTTTTAATCTTCCATTCTTTTTTAATGAATAGCTATTTTGAAATTAAAAAGTACTGTTCATTACACATGCCCCACTATAATAGGGTTTTTATCATATTTGCTCTATGTAAAAATACTTGCTACTTTGTAATTATTCACACGCCGATCCTTTCCTATATTGAGTAGAAAATAAAAAATGAAATAGAAGTCAAAGGTGCTTTAGAGCTGAATGATTTACACAATTCATTAAGGACGGTGATTTTTCAGTTAGCATCAGATTAAATGGTTACTTACTCTCAAATAGCCCTTGGGGAGTTGAATTGCTGGGTAGCAAACAGATTAAAGTTTGCATTGAAAGAAAAATTGAATTCAGAGGTAATCAATAGCATAATAGGGGCAGTGAGTGGTGCCTGCTGACTGAAATGAAATTACCATATTTTTAATCTTAATTTTCCACTCTGTTTATCTGACAGTGTGGATGTGCAATCCAAACAGATAATGAGAGAGTGGGATATTGACACTGCTGTCCTCTGGAGTGCTTGTTTTCAGTGATTAAATGCTGTGATCTGTGATTACTTTGTGCAAGGATGTCGGGGCTGCTGGCCAGAACCATGGGAGGGGCACTCACTCACAGCAGCTGAAGCTCGCGGCTCTCCCAGGTCCTAATGTCTGAAATCATTTTCCACTGGCAGTATTGAAAAATAAAGATTACCTATTTATGTATCTACTTCGGCTGCACAAATTACAATAATTAATCCCATTATTGTTGTTGTCCTGACTCAAAAATGTTTAATTAGATCAATATGTGGTGAACCTCTTCTGTAAGTTTCGTATTAATGAGCCAACAAACTTGCTTCTTATGAGAAGATGTGAGTTATAAGTGCAAAACGCTGGAAAACTTTGAAGGGAAACTGTATTATCGTTAGAGAGGCAGTACAGAGAAGGAAACCAGGGGCATTGTTGCAGGCATCCAGCCCCAGTGGCTGTAATTATATAACAAGCTGTGATAATTTTTAAAAATGCAAATAGTCTTCTCTGGGTGTTGGGAGAAAGTCCTCTTGTACATTTAATTAAATTAATACCTCTAGCCAAATAACAAAGATACCCAATCACAAAAATTTAAAGTCATATAAAACCTACATTCTCTGAATTTGTCGTCTTGTGATGTCGAAATGCATCTTGTCGTCAGTGTAGTTCTGAAAACTACCCTGCATTGAAAGTGTTATTCCATTTTTGCAATGAGGAAATTTACAATGCTTCACATTAGACAACATATTATGGATGCATCATTTGAATTTGAATTCCCTTAATCCTGCTGTGGGAATAGATTTACAATAGATGGTGGCTATCTACCATCTACACCAACGATGTGCAATGTATAGCCTACTTCTGCTTCCACTGGGTAGAGCCTGCGTGTGTTTGGAGAATTTGGTAATTATGCACAGCTAATTAATTTATCCTCCCTTTATTCATATGTGGACACAAATAAAAAGACGTGAAGAGAAAGAGTGACGGGCGGCACTGGCTATCTGATAATAGATTATTACACAGCATTTACTTCTCCGAATTAGAGAGCAGTCACAACAAAAAAGTGATAGTGTCATGCCTCATTCAATCGTTCCTTAACTTCGGGTGATGTACAGTCTTTAATCCCTAATGCACATAACTTTATTTTTTTTCGCAGGCATTTCTGATAGGCACAGCCCTCTGGTAGCGGAAAGAGATCGCTAGGCTAGGCTCGTACTCAGAAGTGAAGAGTGCAAAATAACTGGAAAGAAGGTGAGTGAGTGCCACGGCTGGCTGTGAATTCCAGTTTGTTGACTCCCTGATCCTCGTCCCTCAGGAACATCCCCTTCTCCCAAGGGGCAGGTGGTTAAGATTGGAAAATTTTAATAAATTAACATTTTAACCCTCGCGTGGCCACAGGCATGTCTGCCTGCTCTTGTAAGCGTGTATTTACTGGGTGAAGCATCTGGGGAGGCATCCATGCTGGTGGATACTGACCAAGGATTGTTGCCGAGTTTCAGATTTGAAGCACAGACGAAAGAAATCCCCTCCTTTATATGAATCTGCAATGAGAATTGCACATCTCGGTTTTACCGCCTGCTTTAGATATGCCATATGCTGTGGTATTTTGTAAATCGCTCTAAAGAAAGGGGACATTAGATCCACGCAATAAATGACTATCGTCGAATCCCTGTGAATCTGTATAGCTGTGCTGGAATGAGCTTAAAATTTTTGCTTAGAGTCTTTTTAAAACATCACAAAAAGATGTATCAAGCAGATTAACAGTTTGGACCGATTCTTTTACACAGAGTTTTAGTACCATTTTGACAATTTATTCAGTATTCAGAAAAATCCATAAACTTGAATATAAACTACATACAGTCCTGTCTTCATTACAACAAACTCATCCAATTTTTTGATAACTTGTATTGTGTCCTTTAAAAATTTTTTATCAATACTTAACCATGCTGATTCTTGTAGCCATGGAATATGGCTGATACATACCCATTGACATGGAAAGTAGTCAAAGTGCTATTTGAACTTTTTTCCCCTATCTCTTGACTACCTCTATAATCCAACTGAAACCTAGGTTTTCTAAGGATACAAAAGCTTCCCTCTACCCCTCTACCTGCAGTCACCATTGGAAGTTTATTGAGCTTTAGAGCACACAAAGAGAGTGAGAAAATCCAAACCAATCTCTTTCCTTTCACTTTCTAAATCCTGACATGGTCCATCACCTTTTCAAAATAGTGAGCTGGCCTTCCCCAAAAAGGAGAAAGGAAACACAATCTAATGGAAAACAATAGCAGAAGGATAATCTAATCTTTAATAAGGAGACATGTTTCTGAAAGCTTAAGTAGAGTGAGTTCCACGCTGATGTCACCTTCTCCTGAAAAATGCCAGCTCTCCAGGGGGTGAAGAGGAAAATATTAATGCCATTAATCCATTGTCCCCAAATTCCCCCTAAATAGATGGGATTTGAGAGAAGGCTCTAGGTCACAAGGAGTGGAAGTATTCACGGAAAACAAATGGTTTGCCCCTGATTGGCGTTTGGTTCGTGCAACCGTTAACGAGCTAGTCCTGGGAAACCTGAATGTTCCAACGAACCACACACACGAACGAGTAGCTATTCCGCTATTCCTTCCCGTAGGTGACCCAAGCCTTCCTTCTGATGTTAGCTTCTTATGACCCGGAGAAGAAAGAAAGCGTGCTTGTCACAAACGCTGGTAAGGAAAGTCCATTCTGGGGGCACTGCTGGGTTGACTGAGGTCTCCTGTGCATTTGGCGTTAAGGCAGCAAACTCCAAAATGGGTGTCTTCAATGGACAGTGTCTTTACGGGACCCGGCATGACAACGCCAAGTATTCCCATGATTTTTTTTTTTCACCCGTATAAACCAGAGATCTTTTGATTTATCTTTGAAGCCTGTACACCCTTGGGGCATTAGGCACAATCTCGTCGGCAGGAACCGAGAAAATAAAGCTACCCATGATGCAAAAGGGGGTGGTGACAATTTCTGTCGAGTGAAGCGGAGGAAGAGGCAGTGAGCTTCATAAAACCCGCTTGGGGACCCAGGTGGCCTATTCATTGCTCTGTCTCCAGTCGCTAGCACAGTGCCTGCCACGTGGTAGACATGAATTACCTGCCCGATGGATGAATATACGGGAAGAGCAAAAGTTCGACAACTGCCAGATTTGGTTTTAAGTACCTTTAGCGACCCAGACCTGGAATGCGTAAGTTATCGTCAAAGGCCAGTATTCGCAGGGCTGGGCGCTTCCTAGCTGTACTCTGTCTGCCTGTTTGTTGCTCCACTAAGTCACTTGGACGATAGAAGTGGTGGCCTAGCAAGTGAAATAGCTTGTGCGAAGGTAGCTTATACAGCACCTACCGCTCAGATACTCAGTGAAGGACAACCCATCACCTTCCAGACGCTCTTGGTTCCAGCTGCTAGCCCACGTGTGTTCGGGCTCCACCTCCTCACCACGTCGTTCTGCCGTCACACTTCAGATTGGTCCCTCCCTCTCCCCTTTCAGAAGTTGAGCTCCTTGAAGACAGGAACCAAATCGTACCTTGGTTTCCTCTCTCCTTGGCACAGTGAGTCCTCCCTATGTGTCGACTGAAGGAATTAAAACAAGGCTGTGGGGCATGCTGGCAAAATCGTATTTTGAGATCTTCCTGGTTAAACAAAATGATATAAAGATCATCCCGTAGAGAGTTTAAGTCTGAATTCTGCCTCCGCCTCACGGTCCTCTGGGGAAGGCGCTTAGTAACCAGGGCCCCTTTAGGTCATCTGTGTAGCAGACAACGTGGTTCTAGGTAGCTTGCAGCTTTAGAATTCTACGAGTTCAAGCTACTTCTCGTAAAAAAAATTTAGCCCCTGACTAGATTTGTTCACATACTGAACCTGTTTGGAGGCCGCAGTAACTACAGGTGAAAGTGGAATTTTCTAAATCACCTCTCCTGCCTCATTCCGTGCAGAGAAGACTTGGAATAAAAGAAAAGCTTTCTTTGGAAAGAAATCATGACAAATCCTGATTTGTCATGATCTCTTCCATCCCTGCAGGAAAGCCACAGGAAAAACAGGTTTTCTCTATAGAAACACAACTACAACATACACCTTCAGGAATGGCCTCACGTTTAAGTGCCTGTGAATAAATCATTTCCTTTGATTTTGCTCTAACCAAGACCCTCCCACAGCCATGAGGCCTGTCTTCTTTCAGCCAGAGAAAACTCACAGCTTAAAGGCAGACAGAAGCCCATTCTACTGTTACCGGCCGTAAGTTTTGTGGTGGCCGGCCTCCAACATGGCCGCAGTAATCCCTCCTCGCTGGTCTTCATGTCTTTGTGTCAGCCTCTCCCACTGTCCCACACTGTACAGAATTGTCTGTGTGATCAACAGAATACAGAGAAGCGATGATATGCCACTTCCCAAACTCAGTTATAAAAGACTATGGCTTCAGACCTGGTCTCTTATTCTCTCTTTCTCTCTCTCGTCCCTTGCCCTAGCGGAAGCCAGTTGCCATGGGATGAAGACATTCAGGCAAACAGTGGAGAGGCCCATGATAAGGCAGAAAACTGAAATCCCTGCTAACAGCTGGTGAGGACCTGGGGCCCACCTATTGGTGGCCCCCATGAGTGGGTTTGGAAGTAGACATTTTCCCAGTCAAGCCTTCAGATAAAACAGCAGCCCTGCTCAACAGCTTGACTACAACACTCCTTCCCAGTGAGCTGCTCCCAGATTTCTGGCCACAGAAGCTGCGAGATCATATATATTTGTTATTTTAAGCTGCTCTGTTTTGGTGTCATTTGTCACGCAGTAAAACCAGTTCTCAAAATACAGATATCAAGAAGCTGACTTCAGCCTCATGTAATATCGGTTGTACATCTTCAGCAATCCTTTTTGTTTTTAATGAACCTTTTCTGCCTGCCTTAGTAGATGTGAGGGCCAACGTTTCTAAGCTGTGAAATCTATATTAATGATATCCTAAGATGTGGCGGTGGCCCTGTCTTGTTTGTAAAGTTTGGGGCAAAATGTCTTCTGGATACTATTATGCCTCTAATATTTCAGTTTGCGGACTGCTTTTCTGGGACCTATATTTGCAAAATATCAGAGGTTTGATCTGGATCAATAACTATTTCTCTGGTCATGATTTTAAAACTTATGCACGTATCAAAAAATTATACATGTATCCAATACACTTACAGTTTGCACGAGAACAGAAGAAACCGTAAGATATTCATGACCACCAGTTCATTTTGTACCACATTTTGAAAATCAGGGTAATGGACGCATATGGGACCAGAGGAGATGCTAAAAGCAAGATGTGATTATAAGTGCCATCCTTGATTTTATCCAGGAGACTACTTTTCCTTTTAAATTCTCCCCCACATTACAACATGGTAAATATTTACAAGCAGAAGCACGCAACTGGTTTGGGGTTCTGATAGAACAACTATAATACATCTGTCCAGAGTAGAGAACTAGAAATAAATTCTAGTTCGAATAGAAGCTATTTCCCATATCAGCTTAACCTGAATATTCAACAATAGCTGTGAATTTATGACAACACGAATAACGACTGTTTACTGACAACCTGTGTGATGTACACACACATTTGCACATCTAATCCAGACCTTCCTTTAGACCAAATTTGAGTAAGAGGTATTCTTCTCCCATTGTCTTGAGGCTGAGGGGATTTAAATAGTTTGCCCAGGCCATGCAGCGCGTGCTAATGGACAGAGGACGCAAAGCCAGGCGTTTCAGGGTCCAAGGTTCATGTTCTTAGTACGATGCTGTATCGCCTTCCCATATCAGTTTATTTAATTTTAGTAACGACAATGTGGTAGCAACTGTTGAATTCTTTAGTATAGATGTATAGCAAATCCATAACCACCACTAACAACAAAAAACCCTCATGTTCCAGAAGATTTTCTATTACATTCAAGGTGAGAAAAGGAGCACCTACTTACTGAGAAGATGCTCAGAAGAGACCAGGGAAAGGGTGATGGTTCCTAGCTTCTGAACCCTCCTTCCCGCACGACAGAGGAGAAGGATGCTTTATGGACACACTTTCCTCACGTGCCTGCATTCTGTTGCCACCTCCCGAGTTTCAGAGCTGGCCCTTTGTCTCAGAGTACCACTTCCCTTGCAGTTTTCCTATTGAGGGTAAATATGATTTTCATACATTTCTGAGTCTTCAGTGCCAACCTTTAAAAAAATCTATACACATATAATTAGATTTTTTCTTCCAGGGGAGAAGGCCATATATGTTATTCATCTTCCCCTGGAGTCTGAGCTCTAGTCTTTTGGTTTTCTAGTTAGGATTCAAATCAGGCAGCTTCGTCAGAGAATTTCCGGGCGACAGGGGCCCTGGCGCTGGGCAGTGTTTGTTGGTCGGACTTTGAGGGGAATGGGTGGAAAGGAAGATGGCAAAGCTGACTAATACTCCTGATTACGGAGGATGCATGTTAACGTCTCGGGACTCCGCTGTCTGTGGCCGTGCTGCCCTGCTTTGCATCACCACTGAAATGCAGAGAGAAGCGATCCAGCTCATGGCTCCTTCCGAAAACGAAGTTCCTGACCATTTATTAAAGTACATCCTAAATAGGGGCACCTATGACTCATCAGCTTTAATAACAACAGCTTGTCTTGTAAAAATCGTAGAAAAATGGACACAGGTAGTCAGTGCTTTGGGTATTTTGTGTCACCGTGTGTGTGTGTGTGTGTGTGTGTGTGTGTGTGCACGTGCTCACCTGCTGTTGTTTAGAAAGTGCTGCAAATTCACTGCATAAATAATGTGCTTCTCAAGTGTTTCTTTTTCCTTCATATTACAGTGAACTGCCCCATTTTGAGGATGATTTGCTACGATATTACTGCCACTGCGGTGTGTAAATATCACTGGCAGATTGAGAGCAGAAATATTTTTCAAATAACTGTGCCCAGATCCTGTCTCTGTAAGGTAACTATCTCAGACTTCTTAGGTTCACTTCCTTTATTTCCTAAATTCTTATTATTTTTTTTTGTTGTTGCTTTCTTCTCTTAAGCTAGATGTTTCTTCATAACTTCATGCCACTATCTTCATGTTAAAGATAGAGAAAGGTAGGGGCGCCTGGGTGGTGCAGTCGGTTAAGCGTCCGACTTCAGCCAGGTCACGATCTCGCGGTCCGTGAGTTCGAGCCCCGCGTCAGGCTCTGGGCTGATGGCTCAGAGCCTGGAGCCTGTTTCCGATTCTGTGTCTCCCTCTCTCTCTGACCCTCCCCCGTTCATGCTCTGTCTCTCCCTGTCCCAAAAATAAATAAACGTTGAAAAAAAAAAGATAGAGAAAGGTATAAAACATTAACCTTTTATTCAAGATTATCCCATAGCATAGATTTGTACTGTCCTGATTGATGAGCTGTGTACCTGGACAAAACACAGTCTATATCTGCTTTATCCGCCACTGCTCCAAGATAAAAGTGGTCCCAGGGTAATCATCACCAACAATTGCTAAGAAAAAAACGTATATTATTTTGACTCAGGTAACTTTTACAATAGCCACAACATTAAAATAGAAAAGTTAAATCAATGACTTATAAGTAGATTAAGTGAGTATTAGAATACACCTTTGGTAATTTCTGGTTTTGTAAGGAGATTTTGTTTCCATTTGCCTTGTTTTGGAGAGCTTTAGACAAAGTGTACCTTTTTGATTTAGTTATTAGAACAGCTGATGCAATTTAAAACACATTAAAATACAGTTTTGATTTATTTTTTGGTTGCCGTGATCATGGATTACGTTGTAAAATCTCTCTCCTGTGTTTTAGGATACTAATATTCTACTCTCCTTATAGAAATTTATAGCTTACATTAATGAATTAATAGGTAATGAATATAGTTTCAACCACAGGTCCCCAGATACTGTTGAAAGTGCATCCCAGTAATTAAGGAAATATGAGTGGGTACCCCCAACTATGCATGTTTATTTATAAAGTATACACATGTACTGCTTCAGGCAATCAATATCGCTAGGGCTTAGTTTCCTTTTTATGTTTTAGGTTAAGAAATATCAGTTATATTTCTCTTCCTATCACCCCAAAGGGTTATTTTCGGCATATGCCATTTTGAAGATGACTAACATGAAACATTATAGACTTGCTACTTTCAAGTGGAGATTTCCCCCCCTTTATTTAACATTTTCTTTACCATTCATGTACTTATGTTACATATATAGTGTTTTAACTGTGATTTCTGGTGTTAATGTAGTTTTATTGCAATGTAAATGCAAACGAGGACCCCGGCGTTAAGACCAAAGTGTAATCCAGTCCTATGATCTGAAGCACAGTGATGCAACTCGTATCATCAGAATGTTTATTTCTATAAGGTTGGTGTTACCGGAGAAGGATGATAGCATCACTATGGTCAACTATCTGAAAGTCTATGAGAAAGAGGCTCCTGTGTGTTCTGTCTCTTTCCAGAAAGACTATTTAGAACCTAGTGGAAGTTACTGGGAGGCAAGTTTTGCTCACTGGACGTTTTAATGGGTTGATCTATTGGCAATACAGGCTGCCCTATGGCAGACCGCTGACCTCTGATGAAATGAATTCCCCATCTCAGGGGCCATTTAAGTAGGGGTTGGAGCTGTTGGAAAGATGTAGAGGGATTCCTGCACAACAGGGAGGTCACATGATAGTCTATGACGTGCCTTTCAATTCTTAAGTACTGTGATTTTATAATAATCAGAGAACAATTATTCTGAAGGCTTTGGAATCCCTTTGCCACAAAGAGACACATTGACGGTGCTCCAAAGTGTGAAGGTTACACAGGACGCAGAGGATGAAGGGAGGCCCAACGCTAGAACTACAAGAAGAAATCCAACTTCAGTGGGGCACAGGGATAGTTGGGAGCATCAGTCATGAAGCATTATATGATGTGAGTTTGGGAAGTCTCTTTCCTTAGAGATCTTACAGAGGCAATAAAAAATTATCCCTCTGGGAAGATCTGAACTTAACTAAGTCAAGGGGAAGCTGATCTTACAAAGTCCCTTTGGTTTCTCTGTTTTTATGGGTTATTATGACCATCTGCTATGGCTAATCAACTAAAACCTCGAAAGGAAAAAGAGAAGAAAATTTCCATTAAAGAACAGAGGAGAAAGTGTCATTTTAATGCTTTTCCTTTGACTTGATTCCTTCGGTTATGAGAAATTTACTATGAGTCAGTGGGCAGAAGCAGACGAATCATGCGTTATCTTTTTAAGAAATAATGAAATATGATGTCGTGTCATTTCTCACAGATCCAGAACTAAAGGCTGTGTGTGGGTTTCTGGTCTCTGAAGTATCTTACGAAAAATAAACCCACTGGAAAATAAAGATGAAAGTTCCATCACAGAGGCATGAGAACCCGGAGTCTTCTTTCCGGGTGATAAACAGGACAGCATCCCAGTGAAATAGTTACACTTATTGAGAGTTTCTGGGAGCAGAAATCAATGCTGTTGCTTACAGGGCAGGTGCAGTGCAAATAAAGCCCCTCAGTTCTGTCCCGGGCTCAGAAAGGCATGAGATCATGCAGTTCACACAGGCTGCCAGAAAGCTGCAGCTCGACCCATCTGGAGGCCACTGTCACGATAAAGTCCCCAAAGGAGCGGGTGCCTGGCTCTTCTGCCTTGCCTCCTCTGCTCACAACTTCCTTCCTCAGCACAGGCCGGGGAAGAGCAGACATCCTCTTTTTCAGGGCCACTGGCTGTTTCAAGACTCGGATAATGGGGAAAGTGCCAGTTGTACCAACTGGACGGTCAGTGTTAACTGTTGTCATGCTCTAATGATTTGTAGTCAAAGTTGGGGTAACTTGATCCACAAATGAAAACCTGTATGTCTGATGTGCACCGATGAAGAGGGCAAGCTAAGTCAAGACTTTGCACCCAATTATGACTTAAATACTAAGGATAAGCCAAGTAATGACTTAAATCGTGAGTTCTTTAACATGTTGCCTGGAATATTTTGTTAATCCTTAATTTGCTACAAACCATAAATATTGCCTTAATTTGTGCATGTATTTGGTTTCTGATTGTATTTATTTACTTTTTAATTTTTTTTTAACGTTTATTCATTTTAGAGAGACAGAAAGTGAGCAGGGGAGAAGCAGAGAGAGAGAGAGAAAGAGAGACAGAGAGAGAGGGAGAGAGGGAGAGAGGGAGACTAGGAATCCCAAGCTGACTCCAGGCTCTGAGCTATCAGCACAGAGCCTGATGTGGGGCTCGAACTCACCGGCCGTGAGATCATGACCTGAGCTGAAGTTGGACGTTTAAGTGACTGAGCTACCCAGGCGCCCCTGGTTTCTGATTGTATTTAAAATAAATCCCTTATGTTATGTGAATATAATTATATTAAATTAGTCGATTTCAAAGTTTCTGAGGTAGAGCTGTTTTTGATTTAGAGTTTTAGTGGGCTCTCACATTGCAGTGAGAACAAACATAGAGAAAGTAATAGTCAGTTCCATGATTTGTCTTATCCATAACTTTGAACATTTTAAAATTCTGGGCTTACTGGTGTGCTTTTAAAGTCTAATCGAGCTGGACAAGTTTTTGCCAATTATTGAGAGATTGTAATGTCTTAAGCAAGAACTGAGCGGAACTTGACCTTTGTATAGCCTTGCAGAAATACTTGAGGCAAACCAGATGAATCGAGCCAGGGGACCCAGAGTCGGACAAGTATAGTGAAATGTAGTCGTGCCAACCAAACTCATGACAGACTGATGTATAAACCAGAAGTAATGAGGCTAGAGGTTCAGAGGAAGGGCTGCATTCGTGCCCCTGGGTCACACTCGATCGTCTCTCAGCCTCCTTGGACAAGACCATTGTCTCCTGCCTCTTCTGTGTTCACTCTCAAAGAGTAGGCTTATGTCCAATTTCTGGGGACATCTTATCTCTTTTAGATAATGAGTCATTTTTATTAACAGTGATGCATCTAGTGTGAGCATTATCCAAAGAGAAAATCATCACTAGTCATTTTTCAAAACAGATAAATTTTTCATATTATAAAATCCACCCATCGTAAGTATACAGTCAATGATTTTGGGTAAAGCAGGGTTGTGCAAACATCACTACAAACCACTTGTAGAATATTTCCATCACTCCATGAAGATAACCTTGGGAGTTTGCTCCTGCTCCCATGCCTACTCCCCCAAGTCCCAGGCAACCACTGATCTATATTTTCTTGATGGATTTTCCTTTTGGGGAAATTTCATACAATGGTAACCAATACGTGTGCAGTCTTTCACGTTTGGTTTCTTTTACTTAGTATAATGTTTTTGACGTTCATCAGTGTGGTAGCATGTATTAGTACTATTTCCTTTTTATTGCTGAATGATACTTCATTGCAAGACTGTGTCACATTCACCACCGATATTTATGTGGTTTCCACTTTTTTATGTTGCTATAAGCATTCCTACACAAGTCTTTGTAGGGACACATGTTTTCACTTCTGTCGGGAAGATACCTGAAGGTGGGATTGTTAGGTCATATGACAAATTTATGTGTAACTTTCAATGAGATTGTCAAACTGCTTTCCAAAGTGGCTGTGTACTATCTTACATTTTCACGAGCAATGTATAAGCATTCCAATTTCTCGCCATCCTCACCAAAACCCAAATGCAAATGCCCTTTGGGGTACAGCCACGCTAGCTCTCGGAGTCATTTAACGTGCATTAGCTCATCTAACATGAGGGCTGACGGGGCTCAGGGGCCATAAACACCACGCCCAGGGCCACCCCGATGACAGACAGTGCTCAGTGCTCAGCCTACTCCGTTGCATTTTGGCCAGTTTAAGAAAGAATAAGTGGAGTCATAAGGTTTCCAAGGGAAGAGAGTAAGGAAAAAGGCTCATCCTGAGCAACCAGCCTACCTGCCTTGAGAATTTCTCCTCTCTCACTTCAACACCTCATAGTCCCCCTGATTCTAAACCCGGGCCTGGACCCCTCCCTCTTCTTTGCCCCACTAACTGGCCGAAGCGGGTTGATTCCTCTTCTGTGAAGCCTTGTGCATCTTTTTCTGTCTGTATCTACAGACAGATCCTGCTGTCTGGATGCCCTCATTAGAATCGTCTCTCTACCGCCGGTCCCCTGCCCACTCTGATCCCAGGCTGTTCCACTCTCTCCATGGGATGAAGGCGTCGTCCGCGACCGGCACGCAGGCTGGCTGCCACCTCTTCAGGCTCATGGTCCCTCTCCCTGCCCAAGCATCCTCTGCTCCCAACAAAAATGTCTCCAAACATTGACAAATATCCCTGCTGGGTGTGGGTCTCAGAATCTCCCCTGGTTCAGAACCACTGCTTAGCTAGCGGTTAACGTGTCCCACTGCAGAACTCGTGACCCCGGATTAGCATAATCTCCTCAAGCCCTGGGCCTGGCTTGGAGCAAATGCTCGGAAAGTTTGGATTCGTGCTTGCAGAGAAGTGAAGACTGAGAACTTTAGACTCAGGCCGGGCTTCTGTCTCTTGTCTTGCACTGCCCTGTGTGGGAGGCTGGGAAGTTATCTGACCTCCCCGAGCCCTGCTTTCTTCATTGTAAATGGGGTGATCGTGCTATTAGGCTTATGGTTCAGATTACATGACGTCGTTATTTGTAAAGACCTTATCCAGTTTGGGGTGGAGAGAAAACATTAACAAACGGTCCTGTAAACTATATTCTCCGCCTGCTTGACAGCAGAGGCCCCATGTCATTCCTTTTCCGTTAACGGGGCCGGGCACACTGCCCCACGCAGAACACTTGTTCAGTGTACCTTTTCGGATGGGGCTACAGTGATATGTAAAGATGTTTGTACACAGGGTTTTCAGGATGCAGAGAGGAGTCAGGGGAACAGAAATGGGGAAGGTGAAGAAATGGATGGGGAGAAAACTGCCAGCAGATGGCCTCTTCCTGCTTTATCTTCCTTGCTCTGGCTTTTCTCTCATTATCTGATCCCTGTGTGACTTTAAGCAACTTCTGGAGAGAAAGAAAATAGAAACCAGCAGCTGAACTAGATGCAGAACAAGCTGGGTGATACAAGGTGCCTTTTACTCAAAGTCAAGTGTGTATATGTTTTCCTTTCCCTAGGAGATCACAGCCTGCCTGGGGGGGGGGGGGAGGGGCTTGTTTAGGTAAATCTCCCTTTTCCAAAACCCTGGTTCCGGGCAAAGATGATCAGGAGATGAATAAACGCATGTCGGATGTTGAGAAACCCACCATTGAGCAGAGCATGTATTTCACGGAGCTTTTTGGTTTGTGTTAAGTTACCGGCAATGATTTGTGGCACACTTTGGTCACACATCTATTGTACTTACGGTTGGCAACAGGACTGGCTAGAGACAGAGTCAGAATTTGGGGCTTTGAGACAGCTAACTGGGTCAGCTCCCACAGAACTAGCTTTTGCTAGTTACTTTTTACCGGTAATAAAAGAATCCTGTTCACTGACATCAGTGCTAACAGACCAACTTAATGGGCAACAGTAAAACCAGAGTACAAATAAGAAAACTAAATGGAGACCCACCGAAAGGTGGAGGTGGGGAAGAAGGAAGCAATTGATGTTTTAAGAGAATTTTTCTCAAAGTGTGGTCTTTAGACAACCTGCCTGAGAATCACCTGAGGAGGACAGCGTGCTTTTTTTAAAAATACAGGTTCCCGGGCGCACATGAGACCTATGGGATTAGATGGGGCGCCTGGGTGGCGCAGTCGGTTAAGCGTCCGACTTCAGCCAGGTCACGATCTCGCGGTCCGTGAGTTCAAGCCCCGCATCAGGCTCTGGGCTGATGGCTCAGAGCCTGGAGCCTGTTTCCGATTCTGTGTCTTCCTCTCTCTCTGCCCCTCCCCCGTTCATGCTCTGTCTCTCTCTGTCCCAAAAATGAATAAACGTTGTAAAAAAAAATTAAAAAAAAAAAAGAGACCTATGGGATTAGAATTTGTTGGGAAAGACCTCTTCACTCTTTTTTTTGAAAATTACTTTTTAATGTTTATTTATTTTTGAGAGAGAGAGAGACAGAGACAGAGACAGAGCACGAGTTGGGCAGGGTCAGAGGGAGAGGGAGATACAGAATCTGAAGCAGGTTCCAGGCTCTGAGCTGTCAGCACAGAGCCAGACGCGGGGCTCGAACTCACAAACGGTGAGATCATGACCTGAGCCAGAGTCGAACACTTAACTGACTGAGCCACCCAGGTGCCCCTCCACTCTTTTTTTTTTTTTTTTTAAATTCACACTAAAATTTGAGAAACATTGCTCCAAAGAAAAGACAATTTAATGTACAGAGTCAGTTTCTACCAACAGCCTTATTCTTCTTGCTTGATGACACTGGGTGGATTCACTGCTCTCAGAGTATTTCATAAGGTCTTAGGAGACAGGACAGTGGTGTTAGACAAAGAGCTGTGGTTTGCACTTAGACCTGGGAACTGGTCCTGTCAGTCTGCCTTGGGCCAATCCAGCCTCTTTGGTCTGCAGACTCCTCACCTGCCAATGGAGGCCATCCAGATGTTCCCCCATGGCCCCAGGGTTCGATGAGGCTGTGGTCTTCAAAGCCCTCTCTGTTGTTTTATAAACATTAGAATAGCAGCTGTTTATATCGCATGACTTGAGGTCAGGTACTGTGCTGAACACTTTACATACACTAACTCGTTTAATCCCTCTCCACAACCCTATGAGGCAGGCTAACCCCAGTGTACGGATAGTAAAAGTGAGGTGCAGAGAGGGTAGGCAACTGTTCAAGATTAAACAGCTAAATGAAGAACCGAAAAGTTTATTTTACACGGAAAATTATTATTTCTTTTTTTTAATTTTTTGGTTTTATTTTTATTAAAAAAATTTTTTTAATTTTAATTGAAAAATTTTTTTTACTGTTTATTTATTTTTGAGAGACAAGAGTGCTAGTGGGTGAGGGGCAGAGAGGGAGGGAGACACAGAATCTGAAGCAGGCTCCAGGCTCTGAGCTGTCAGCACAGAGCCCGACACAGGGCTCGAACTCACAAGCGGTGAGATCATGACCTGAGCTGAAGTCAGACACTTAACCGACTGAGCCACCCAGGCGTTCCCTTTTTTTTTTTCTTAATTTTTTTTTAATGTTTATTTATTTTTGAGAGACATAGTGCAGGAAAATTATTTCTACACTCAAAAATTTTTTTTCTCTATTC